GATCTCGCTTTGAGGAACAAGCGCATGAGTAGCGCTCTTTAGTTCTCTCAGAAAATTCTGCACTTGTAACGGGCTGAACTTTGTAGTGGGGAAGCTAGACTCAAAGTTCATCAACCAACCGTCAAAGCCATAAGTTTCCGCTACCCTCGCGAGTTGAGTTGCAAATAGAAATTCACCCTCCGACCCCTTCTCCAATACTCTTGTAATCTCTTCCTTACCGTCATCATTCTCCAACAGGAACGTTCCTAGGACTTTAATCCCATTGCGATGCATCAAGTTTATCCAAGACACTGGTGGAATTGTTACCCGCTTGTGCGAGAAATACACGAATGTTGAGACATATTGGAGGTATTCTGTAGTGTAAACTGTATCGCTAAAGGGACAGCGACCTTGAGAAGATTCTGATGGGTGATAACCCCCCTTGAAGTCGTGGCATACCAAAACCCTCGGGACAGTGACTGCGGAGGCTTGTACTGACGGTAAACCCGATGCTAAAGTGGGGCGACGTTGAAGCGGGGTATTGGAGATATTAGTGAGATGCTTGAATGAAAGTTCGGGGTTCCAATCAGCAAGTTCCTGCATGGAGTCGAGATGGATAAAATCATGAGAAGCCATTGGGATTTCTCGCTACCAGGAATTCAATAGGGGATTTTTTTGGTACGTAGCTAGGAAACCTGCCTAGATTATCGATGCGTTGTACTACCGCAAAAACTTAATAACGAACGAGGCCGGACTAAGCCTCAATCACAGAATTCCAGGCCCCCCCTTCGTTACATATAAAACCAATAACAAGTGCCGGGCTGCCCCGATAACCTCCGAATCCTGTGGTATACGTACTCGTCCCTATAATGGCTTTACATACTTACATAATTTACAAACTAAAGATTAGTTACTGTAGGTGAGTACTTTAGTATGGTATTATATAATACTAGAATTGTACTCTACATGTAGGGCCAAGGGATAATTGTTGATATGTAGCTAGCGATATCAATATCGTCTTAGCCCCTTAATGGTAGAGGGCGAGTGCAGTACGGCAAGGAGATCTCTGAGCATGAGCCACATCTTGGCACCTAAATTGATTCATACCATCCCTTACTTTTACTTTCGACTCTGGCATTTATTCTGTCTCAGAATAGGCAGCAATATCCGAGTATCGGATTACACAATCACGGATGCTGTCAACAGGTTTATTTAGCACTCTAGCTCTACCAATCCCTTAGGTACTTATATGTAGGCAAGTCTTTAAAAGCTACAGAAAATCCGAGCATGCATGTGAGATCACCGGCTGGAGATTAATTGATAATGTAACATTCGCCACCATTTTGGTGTGCGCACGTGCCTGAAATACTAAAGGATAATCCGTTGGGATTTCCATTTAGCTGATTATCTACGGTGGGTCGAAAAGATCATGGTAGCATTCTCGAAACCTGAATAAGAGACTCAAACTTCATTTATCGTATGATCAGTACCCTTTTCAAGTAGGAAAACTACATGTGTATACTAGAGTACATACCTGATTACTAACATGAGAGATAAAAACTAGGTCTACCTATTACACAGTGTTTAAATCTTGTTCCTTAGACAAATTAAACATTACCTGTTCATTTACCGATTCACTCATATCAAAGATATGTGATTTGCTGCACACTACATGTAGTGATTAATCCTCTATGGGTATTGAGTCTATGAATTCTAAATCGGCTACAATTGCAAGTAGTTACTCAGCCCGAGCTAGAGCAGTAGCCTCTAGCACTTTATTCTTTAGTATACCTCACGGAACTTTGTAATTGGGCTTGCATGTATGTACGTATTATACACGATCTATGGACTCCTCTCTATAATTATTTACTGCAATTTCATCTCTCAAAGTAGGGTGCAAGCACTAGTGAATAGCACTATATATAAAAATTATTTGAAGTAAATCATGTATCACACATAATGTGCGATAATGCTAATATAATAGAAATATTTCAGCAGTTAATAGAAACACCTAAACGAGACACACGACCCAGATTTCCGGGTTCTATCATGCTCATTCTCTGGTCTGGTATATATCCATTAACATGGCTGGAGATCCCGTGGCCGCGCTTAAGTAGTGAGGGTCTCTCGCGGAAGGTCATGTCGAGATCGCACATTAGAGTCTTTTAGCCAACGACCACAAGAGTCGTTAACACTAAATTGAAATACCCAAGACTTTGGTGCATGCATTAGGGGACCTTGGCCTGCATGGTATGAGGAATACTCTCAAAGGAAAATTCGAGGGATTGGTATTCTAAATATTTGACAGCGTATTCTTAAGCACGGCATTCAAAAAGTAATATATGATACGCATCCTGCATGTACAAAAGTCTTGGGTATTTCAATTTACTGTTAACGACTCTCTATTCGCCTTGCTGGGTAGATCTTCTGTGTATCACTTTGGCCGTCAGACCGGACACAAATCCTGTAATTATAAGCTAGCTAGGAACTTAATGTGATAAAAACACGTATGGCTCAACTCGAATGGGTAGGTGTGTCAACTTGTTCTCATTGGTATAAATCGGCCTTTAGCTTAAGTTTGGGGATTTTACGGCCACCCAACCCTGCAATTAACACACACCCGCACACACCAAGAGGGGCCCGGGGTAGTATACTGTATCTTACGTTATTTTCTTATCAGATCTTTCGAATCTTCCCCACAACAAAAACCTTGAGATGAAAGCTATACTACCCAAGAGTATACGTTTGAAGACATATCTCCATTTATCAAATATATATGTAAAGAGTTATGTAGCTTTAAGTTCGAATCGTAAATCTAGGATTTTGCCAAGACCCCATACAAATTCGAGGTCTTGGCAGATTTTTAAGAACAATTGAGCGAAACGCTCTACTACCAATGCTACAGTGGTTGACTTTGAAATTTAAGATTTTCCGGTGATTATACTGGCTGTCAGACTGTACTATACTAACTTTTCACAGGTTATATGTTTAAATTGCTGGTTGTAAAGCCATTTGAGAAAGGGTGATTTTGACGTTTTTTTTGGTGTGTCCCTTAGTGCCAAGATTGTGGCTCATGCTACATGTACAAGGCTCTGGGATTAAGTGAGCGAACGGATCCACACTAGTCAACACCTATTTAGTTCACTTACTTAATGCCAGAGCCTTGTACAGCTATCGGTAGAATTATTGCGGAAACAGGGACCGACGATCACGCCGAGAGCAGGGCGATTTTCCAACGCCACATTTCTGCAATAATTCTACCGATAGCTGTACTATACGTATGTACCATTCCTATCAATTAATCCCTCCATTATGGTGGCCAGACGAAAGATCACTCCGGAAATATTGATCATTCGACTAATTATTTTGAAGGCTACGCACTAGATATATGAGGTTACATGACTAATAATGTTGTTGTCTTGACTGGTTATTGATTTGGGTCATTGAAATAAATCGTGTGACCCATTTATAGTTTGGTGGGTATACATATATGTACTTATGTTTTCTCGGTAATCACCCTCTCGGCTTTCATTAGTACTTAAGTAACGGCTCTAGATTTAGCTAGATCACAAGAGTGTTTTATACTCCAGAAAATTGGTTCAGCTCGATTTACTGGAGCGGATTAGCTATCATAATCACAAAATTGGGTATTTGCTTTATTCCAGAAGTGCAGAGAACTTTAGTTGTGCCAGCACTGGTATACATGGAGGGGCTAGGCGTTGGTCGATAGGAGGCGTGCAAATTTAAAAGCATTTCGAATGAAATGTATGTGCGTGGATAATATTCGCCTCAGCTGAGGCGAGAGTCTCGCTACGCGTCTCCCCTAGATACGCAAGACCTTGGTCTCGGATTTGGGATTTCAATTGTAAGGGGAAAAGGAGTTCAGACACACGTATTGTGCATGATATTAATTGATGCGGTTCGATTATCCTAGCTACTTCAACGTACATACAGTCGCAACTCGATATGCTGGATTGCCAAAATTCGAGGGATTTCGTTCGGGATAGCAAAAAATCCGGGATAGCAAATTGATTTTGCAGTAATAAAATTAAGATCTCAGAAGATTTCGTACGGGACAGCAAGGGATCCGGCGTATTGAGATCCGGCATATCGAGTTGCAACTGTACTCTACGTCGAAGCCTAAGAATATACCCTGACAATACGATTAGGGTCCCAGTGCTTTGACATAGTCTATCACAAATCTTGATCTATTGAACTTGCTCGATTCCTCGCCGGTCTTCCTGCACGGCAGAAAGAACGAATCACGGTTGAACGGCTCCCAGACCTGGCGCTCGATGGCGGTATACTGTCGTAAATTATATATCGAATAAATCCTCCTACCTACAATTTATTGCTCGGATGGTGGCTGCGTAATAACTAGATCTTCAGTCAATACAAAAATTGTGATACAGTCTAATATGCAGTTTTGTGTCTGGCATTTGCCCTCAGTTGGAGAAAAATAAATAATCATATGCCGCATGATACAGCCCAAGACCGGCCTCTCGACAGGAGATGGTCGTGGATTTAAATACTATCTTCATCCGTCTCAAGTTTATCAGGGTCCTATCGGTACGAATCCATAACGCCTCTATCGTGAGATGAACGTACTACAGTCTTCAGAAGGCAACAGCATCAGCATCAAGTCCGAGCGCCCCAAGGTTCCCATTCCGCGCTGGGGAAAGTCAAAAGCCGGTCAAGATGTTTCTTATCATGGGAAGATTGAGAGAAGAAGGGTTACACATGCGTGTGAGCCCTGTCGAGAGAAGAAAACAAAGGTCTGTCCTAACATTCAACATTATGCTACTTGAGATTTGTATAGTTTGGGAAATAAATCCTATAATTGAAATTTCCCGGGAGTTAGCTGACGCTTGGTTTTTCATGTTAATTTTACAGTGTGATGGAGGCAGGTTCGATTACTTGATCGGTGCGAGTGTTTTCAAGCTCCAATAATGGACAGCTTGTAAATACGAAAAACAGGGCATTCATCACTAATAATTGCCCGGGGAATAACCAGCAGACCAATGTGTTACCATTGTCGAATATCCGGGATAGCATGTTACTATGGCGATGGGAAGAGGGAACGAGCAAGAAAGTGAGCATACAACCCTCCAGAGCTCTATAACCATCGTCTATTGTTGTAACAGGATGTTACGAACAGGATGTTACTGGGGATGGGCGGATTTCTCTCCTGGCCACAGAAACATCAGACGTTAAGGCTTCAGCTGGACATTTATTTGGACTAATACCAAATGATTCAGGAACCTGAGAGCGCTCGAGAACAGGATTGTGGATCTTGAAGGGTTAATACAAGAGATCCAGCCATATCTAAACAACGCTGGGAAGTTGGTAGTTAAGGAGATACTTGCACAGGTTACTAAACTACTAGAATATATATCCCCTCAAGCTAGACTAGACCTAACAGATAACAGAACCCAATTCCGTCGCCACCAAATAATGATTCTCCGTGGCAAGTATCCACCAGTGACGATACAAGCAATTATCACTTCTACCGGCGAGACTCTACAAACAATCCAAGCCAATCATTTATGTCAACTGATATAGGTTCTGTAAACCCAGTGGGCCGCCAAGTTAAGAACGTCCATACCGAATTCGTTATCAGCCGGGGTGAGCGTGTCGAAAGTGACAGCGATCCTGTTTGGGTATGTCGTGGGGATGAAGGGCTCAAAAATGATGACAACAATGCGCCCGCCAGCAATCTTGATTTACTGCCTTCATATCGAACCACTGAGGCAAGTGCAGGTTGTATGGGGACTTCAATTCAAAGAAATGCTCAAGGAATGTTTCACCACATGATCTCAAATAAGGCTACCTGAGCTAATAATGCCTCCAATTCTAGACCTCTCAATTGGAGACCGAGAAAAACAAAGCCATAGTCGGCAGGTAGACACATTTAGTCTTCCTCCTAGACTAGTGGCAGAAAGGCTTATTGATTTATATTTCACCACCGTACACCCAATTTTCCCCATAATCTGCAAGTCGAATTTTATGATGCAGTTTGATAAGTATTACGGTTCATTGGAAAACTCATTAGAACCAATAGCCTATCAAAATTCGAGAAAATGGCTTACACTTTTGAATCTCGTATTTGCGATTGCCGAAAAATACCTCCAACCAGAATTGGGCATGAACACCAGAGGTCAGGGAAGAGATGCGGATTACTTCGCCAGGTCGAGAATCTTAGGAGCTTTGGATGGAGGCTCAGTGCTTCAGATACCTGATTTAGGGAAGATTCAAGCTTTGGGGTTGACAGGCATGTACCTGCTTGCCAGTATTCAAACAAATCGGTTTGTTTCCTTGGTTCTGTAGATTGTATCACGAATGATGCTTACTGCATATGCATACAGCGCATGGAACGTTACTGGCCTAGCTATACGATTAGCCTATGGAATTGGCCTACACCTACGTGGAGACAGTGTTCCAGGGGACTTCGAAGCAAAAATGCGCGTGCGCATCTGGTATTGTCTTTATTGCCTCGAAACCACCCTTTGCCTTATCACCGGACGTCCTTGTGCCATTCAAGATAGGATTTGCAGTGCGCCGTACCCATCAGCCCTAAATGATGAGATATTGCCAGCTCAATACAATGACGTCGCAGTGCTTGATGCGTATTTCTCCAAACACCAAACGCTTATGGCCATTTCTGCGGATATGCTGCTCATTCTATATTCTAAGAGTTTTCGCGATAAAAGTTGGTCTCAAGTACAAGACCTGATAGTAAGACTGTCAACGAGCTTACAAAATTGGAGGATTCAATTGCCACTTGCCCTCGACTTCTTCAAAGAAGAGACTGATACAGTTTTTAGGCGTCAGGTTAGTACTCCATTGAATATATCACTACTCTTGAATATAGCTATCCAGTGAAAGCTTATTTTCCGACAGAGATTAAACCTAGCTTTTCAGTACTATACAATTCTTATGCTCACCAACAGGCCATGTCTCTCAAAGATTTACTCTCGTAAAGATAGTACGCCTAACGAGTCCCTGGAGTTTAGAGAATTCAGCAAAACGTCAGCAGAAACATGTATTAACTCCGCCCGTGCTATCATTCATCTGATTGTCAGGGAGTACAGAAGTCAGGATCTAATTCCCAACTCGCCGTGGTGGTGTCTTATACATCACCTCATACCCGCAAATAAGATTATTATGCTAGAGATGGCCGACGAAAACCTACATACTCCCGAATATAGAGCTGCTTTACTTGAAGACTGTAAAATGGTGCTTGTTTGGCTAAGGAGTATGTCGAAAGTGAACACGACCCTCCGGAGACACAGCTTGGAGCTTTCAGACCAACTCAAACAAGTCGCGCCTGGGATCGATGAACAACTTGGGGAAGAAATGGTGGAATCTGCGCCTCAAGAAGTTACAGCTCAATCTATTTCATCTTCTGCGGAGTATACAGCCTCTACCTCATCTCAAGCTACGGGATTCGGGGATATGCGGTTTGACATATACGGAAAATCTTGCTACGCTACTGAGTATCAATGCTTCAATTCTACGAGCGCGTTATTGTGTTCTTCGCCGTACCAACCAGATCGAGGCTCGATAATAATCGAATCACCAAGTCCAGTACATTCCCGTCCACGAAATAGCCCCCAGGTTGATAATATGAGTTTGTGGCTAGATACATAAGGCACGTCACGTATTATTTCTTTGTGGATGGATAATCCTTTGGGTACGATTTTTCTTAATTTCTTTTCTGCGATAAATATGATTACATGTATTTCTTGGAGCGTTTCTTTCGTCCTATTACCGTTGAGATCTTGTGTGATTTTAGTTTCTAGTAACTGTCATGTACGGGATTCATATCACTCAATCTATGGATTTAAGATAACGAATTTGATTGGTTTGAAAGCTATCCCAGTAAGAACTAAAATATTTTTTTTTAAAAAAACCTAAACGCCATAACCTCCTTTTTGTATAGACCTTATCTCAAGCCCTTTTCTTTAGAAGCTTGGACGGCTTCCCATAGTTGCGTATTATCTCCTTTTTCTTCGTCGAGTAAATCAATGTCCGCTTTTTTGTTATCCTCTTTACCCTCTTCGGCATCATCATCATCTTGATCGTCCTCGTTATCCTCATCATCATCGTCTCCGTCCGTTTCGTTCCCCCCGCTCTCTTCTTGACCACCCTCATTATCATCGCCAAGGGGCGCAACCTCTTTCATATATTTCTCTAACTCCTTCCATTGCTTTTTTGAGAAACCACTAGCCTGTACCTCAATATCCAACTTTCCAACCCTCTTCACGTCGCTCCAATGTGGACCATCATCCTCAGAAGTGTATCTAAATCTTCGCTCGAAAAAGGTCTTGATGCACTGCACATCACGATCGAAGTAGTCTTTCGCGTTGGGATGGTCTGTGCTGATCATCTGAGGGAAATCAATGACGATAGGCTTTAAGCTATCCTCATAGACAAGAATGTTGAACTCGTTGAAGTCACCATGAATCAGTCCCATCGATGCAAATCTTAGGATTAGCTCCATGAGCGATGAATAGAGCGTTGAGGGCTCGGAAATAGTGGAAAGTTGACGGAGGGGAAAGGCGTCTATTAGTTCCATAACAATGCAGTGACGAGCTTGATCAAGGGGGGTAGGGACCGGAAATCCGTTTTCGTGAAGAATCTAGAAGGAAGTTATGGGTTGTTATCGCTTTTAGAACAAAACAAGGGAGTAGAAAATACCTTCATGAAGGCATATTCTTTCAATGCTGCCAATCTAGACATATACATCCAACTTCCTGAATTTCGGTTCCGAAGATAGTCTCGGTTTTCTTTTACTTTCCTGAAAGATATTCTTCCAAGACGATGTATCTTCAAGACGTGTTGCTTCCCCGTGTCATTCGCAACCACGAAGATATCGGACTCCTTTCCGATGCCAATCTGGTTACCGACCGAGTAAACCGTTTTCCTCTTGGAAAAAGAGTGTAAGGCTAAATAATCCAATCCTCCATAGGTCAATCTGTATCCATCATCTGATTAGGTTAGTTTGGGACCATTCTGCACAAAGTGCGATTTAGCGTGGAACAAACATTTTGCGTTTTTAACCTTCGCGATCAGTCCAACCTTAGCAATGGCGGAGATAGATTTATTTACACCGCTAGCTCCGCGCAAACCCGAGATTTGGGCTATCAAAGGTGTTGGGACGACTTCATGATTCTTACTGCCCATTTCAACCTACAATCACCACCGTCAGTCACTCGGGATGGATTATTATAGGAGGCTTAGGAAACAGACAGCTGTAAGGACGCGCCAGTCCTCAGTACTAAGGTACCGCATTGCATGGGTATCGAGCTTCATATTTTTGTAACTTATTTGAGATCAAATCTTCGTGTCGTTTGTCGTGATGTTTAGTGGGGGTCGGCGAGGTCAAGTTTTTTTTATTCTTGCCAGGATCTAGCAGAGCCTCATTGTCATAAAAACCTAACCCTAGTAATCTTGGTTTGAGTCCTAGCGCGAAACTGATAGAGCTCAAATTGCCATATATCTAGAGTATGTACGTACCTGTATGCGTAGAACCTTGGAAGGAATTAAGATAAGAGATTACCTGTCTAGAGCGGATCTCTTTATAAATTCTCCATTACTTGATCGCAGCTGTAGATGCCAAATATAAGCAAGATTTGGAGGTATGCAAAAAGCACGAATCCTTCAGTTTTGGAGGATCATTTAACACCCGGTGCAACGCTCCACTTACTTGCGTACCAGCAAAAGAACCAGAAAATGCAAGTGACGGAAACAGGGATTATTTGTATGAGAGAACGGCGCCACTCCATACAAACTATCCTTGCCCTGAGCAACCGCATTTTCTGGTTCTTTTGCTGGTAAGCAAGTATATATGTACTTCGGGGGTAGGGGTAAGTGAGAAGACACCCTTCACGCAATCTTGGCATCGTGGTGTCTTCTCACTTATCCCTGATACCGAAGTACCGCAAGATTTGGAGCGTTGCACCCGGGCGTTAGAGAAGATCCTGGTATGTAAAAAGCACCAATTTTTGCTCGAACTGTGGCGAATCCTTCAGTTTTTTGTGAGAGAAACTTACCAGGATCTTATTTAACACCCGGGTGCAACGCTCCAACTTTTGCGGTACACTGTGCATGGGATGGGATGAAGCGAGATAATTTTATTTCAACGCCATGCATATGCACAATGTCAATCACCAAAGCCCTTGCTCACTAACATACAAGTGGTCTCAGAAACGGTCAGAGTCAGCTAGTGCAGCCAATGAGCTAGTTCGAGTTGAGCCACATCATAATCAATAGTCAGCTCGGTCCTCGAGCCTTCAATATAGGCTAATGATAAGGCTCAAGGCAGTGTTGAATTATAAAAAAAAAAAAGATTTCTTCTGCGAAGTATTAGGTATGAAGAGTTACAAGTAGGGAACAGCCATACTCAGTTAGACTAGATGTTTTAAAGGAAAATTTAAAAGGATTTCCAATTGCCTGAATTGTTCCTGCAGCCACCATAATTCATTATATCTCACTGAAGAATGGATATCTTCATATTGAGCCTGCTTAAGTCAGGCCTGATCATTAATCCGATCTGGCCTGGGCTTGCTAGATATATATAAGGTTTACTCTGAATGGACCCAGTGCTCGGCTCCTCAGCCCACAGTATCTGAGGCTAGCTGAGGCTGGGACCAACGATACTTTGATAAACTACGGGAAATGTTTATTACTAAAACACCGAGAATACTTTGTCTTGCTAAATTTACATTACTATCAGGATCTAGCTGAAAGTTTTCCTCAACTCCTAAATAGCCGCAAACCATCCATCTCCATATGTTCTTCTTCCGCGTCTTCCTCATCTTCATCGACCTTAACCTTTTGGCCCAACAAGCTAGAAAACAGCTCACTAAAGAGAAGTAAATATATTAGTATCTGGGTTAATAGTGGTCGAAGAAATAAAAATAATGGATCATACTCAATCTGTTGTTCATGCCAGGTGTTGTTTTCCAACGGAGCCATGAAGTTTTGAATTTTCTCTTGCACTTGATATCGCAATTTTCTTCCTTTACTTGCTTTTGTATCCACAACCTTTTTCTTCTTAGAATCACGCATTGCGGTTGTCCATGTTATCGCGCCTGCTCCTGCCCCTACCCCGCCATCTACCATTCTTCGATCTACCAAGGTCTTAAGGAGAAGTTGATAGAAATCCGCATCGTCAAAAATTTCTGGATGCTCGGCTTCAGTACATCCAGGCGCCATCGATCGTGGGGTACGAGTGCGGATAATCAACCGGTCCTGATCATAGCTAAGTGTCTCATTGATTGAGGCAACAAGGGGACGATGGGTGGAAGCAGCGTTATTTAATTTCTTTCCAAGGTTAGCTGTGGAAACGCCTTGAGTTTTTCCAGACCATTTATCAAGTGTCGTTTCCCGCCACGACGCAGCATCGCGATCGAGTTGATGCATTTTGGTCGCAAGAGCTTCAGTAGCGGTGTCGACGGCACCCTCGTAATCATCACGTTTTCGTTTGTTGCCAGTTCGAGAATCCGAGAGGTCACAACGGAGATCATGAAGTATGTTCCATAACTTTAATGCGGCACCTTCTGTAGCCTTCCATGATTCGGGCTTGACCGGAGTCTCTGATAGGGAATTTGTAGATATTAAGGCCTTTTGAAGCTTGATACGAATACTGAGGAATGAGTCGAAAGTTTTCTACTACTTATTAGCATAGAGTTATCGCCTTTGGGGAAGGATATATTATTACTTGTTGTTGCCGAACGGCAGAGCCTTTGTCTGCGTCTGCTTTTGCTGCTTTAGAGATACTTTTAACCACATTCCTAGAAGTTTTTAGAAATTAAGTCGAGGCAGAATATTAGGGATTTCATACTTTTGCTCTTCGACCATCATTTTTCGCAGTTGCGCTCTCCGGGCGATCTCTTCCCCTTGATTATCCTCATCCTCACTTTCCTCTTCACCATCTTCCTCTTCATCTTCAAGGTCTTCCTCGTCAGAGTTTTCGTTCTCATCCTCTTCATTACTTTCCTTCTCGTCATTACCTCCATCAACTTCATCGTTTCCCTCGTCTCCAGAACTCTCCCCGCTGGAACCTGCCACACCGTTCATTTTTTGTGTTGTAGTACTTCCCCTGAATTTGAAGCTAGCGAACCTCTCTTCCTCACTCCCTAATGCGTCATCGCTATCAATTTCATCATCTTCGCCGCTGAGTAGTGTACCGTCCCGGATATAGTCCTCGCTATTTAGTTCGACACCCCCGGTTGATTCGATGTCTGATTTTTCGTCTTCTTCGTCTTCGGAATCCGCGGAATCTCGCGATTCTTCGTCCTCATTACTGTCGTATAGCTTATCGCGACTCACTTTGGCCCCGTTGTATTTTGGGTCCAGTAATACAGGATGCCCCTTTCGCAATTTGCTCTTTCTATTTCATTGTTAGGCCGCTAGGCACAATGTAAATAGTTAATATTTATGATATGAACTTATTCATACCCTACGGCAACATAATGCTCCCTTCCAGTATGTTCTCCCTCGTTTTCACCCACTTCGGAACCATCGCTACCTTCACCATCCCATTGCTCTTCCTCCAGAGCCTCAGGATCGAAGTCTAGGTCAAAGCTTGTAAGTAACTATAAATATGCGCAGGACTGGGTTTGATAGATTTGATTTACCAGTCGGAGCAGGATTTTCTAGTAACGCAAGCTGCTCGGTTAATGAGAGCGCTGATCGGGGCTTTGTTGAAGGCATTGTGGTGAATGTGGGTTGAGAATAGATTGTCGAACTGGAAAAAAAAGGTAAATCCTGATACCCTTGGCGACAAAAAGTTGAGCCGCACTAGCCCATGACAGGGACTCGGCCTTGGCGTGGTCACCACTCATGCATATGAGCCGAGCATCTTATCTGATCTCGAAAGACCTTATCATGTAAAGTAGATTAGATAAGATTCTCACCCAAAATCATATTTTGACGAGCTCACAGCAGCGTATTTCGCTTAAATGATTGCACAAAACCACCCGGAGGTGAGCTCAAGGCAATATATGATCTTTATTTTGTTCCATTGTGGGAATCCGAATGATCTCACTGGGCTTCTTTTAGCTCTTGTGCAGTCCAAGGCCCATCTAGCCCGTCCAACTTTTAGACTAAAATTTATTGTTACAGTGGAGTCCCGATAGTAGCAACCTCGATAGACGTTGTTGGCCGGTTTGTTGTGATCAGTCTCCTTTTCGACGACGATACGAATTCAGAGACAAATCAAAATAGTTCCGACTAAGCAAAAAAATGGGAGCATGTATATTGATGATGAACAACAACAAAAAAAGGATAGAGACAAGAGCTAGCTAGAGAGACGTTCCTTTTGGGACACCTGTATGGTGCGCCCACGCTTAAGGCTGTCGGATCGCGACAAAATGTCAATGGCTGATAACTTTGCAACGAAAAATGGTAAAAGAAAAGCGGTAAAATAGAACTCTAGTAAATAGAACTCTAGTTCAAGTGATGAATTTTAGTTCTATTTTAGCAGAATTTTGATATTTGTCTGGGTTGGAAAGTTATCAGAGGTTGAAATTGTGTATTTTTGTATGTAAAATGCGCCAAGACTGAACAAAGTGGAACCGTATTATACCCATTTATACCCCCCAAAAAGCAAATCTGACTGATCCGTGGCAGTGAGGCAGCAAAATGCCTAGAAATGGGTCCTCTTATTGGCCCATGAGGCCCTATTGAAGCCACAATTGTTCCACTTCCGTGTGCCACCATTTCACCTTTCCCTGGGCGCCTGTTGCGGCTAACCCGCACCGAATCGCGCCTAGTCCCGTGTTACATCAAATCTGGACACCTCACCAGGACAGTTGCCATAACAACCAGGTGAGTGGTAGAAACGTCTAATAGCATATCCTCAAACGAGCCGGTACGGGCAAAGTTGTTCTCGATATGTACAAGCATATCCCAGACAGTGGCACACGAAAATCCGTTCCCCACCATATGCTATTATCGAGACTCCACTGTACTGTTACTGTCTTAGACTTGGCCGGACAATCCACCACAGTCCTACAATCTAAACACTATAAATTCCTTCCACTGTCTGACTTGGCACAGTCGATTACAGTTGACTGTAGTCGAGCGGGCCGCTGGCGGCAATGCCCGGGGCGACGGACCTCTATGAGTACATGTAAGTATGTGGTAGGTACTCTAAAGTACATGTATGGATATGCACTCCCTGTTCGGAATAGTCAATCAAAAGACGGCTGGGCACGATCTAGGTGCCAGTAGAGTGCTTATCACCAAAGACTGTGCTCTGTTTACTGTTCAGGATATGTAGAAACAGTAGAGTGTTCTACCGAGTTGACTTCAGCTTCGTCGCTGGGATGTACTTCGGGGGTAGGGGTAAGTGAGAAGACACCCTTCACGCAATCTTGGCATCGTGGTGTCTTCTCACTTATCCCTGATACCGAAGTACATACTACTAGTAGTCTACTAAAGCAAGCTGACTGCAGGAACTGTATGTATGTACCTACTCTAGAGTACTCTACATAACTGTACATTTAGGTTACAGTAGGTACATAGATCTCTCAGCTCATTCTAGCAAGTTAGCAATCCGCTCTTAGTTAAATGTTGGAATTTGATTGGCTGTTTAGGGTTATGTAGCTACATAGCTAGAGACACCAGTAGAGTACCCTGATGAGTCATGACAGGTGCACAGCCCTGCATCGCTGTAGTAGAGTACCTACTAGGGGAATACCGTGGGTCCAGGCAAGGACAACGAGGATTGTAGACACAGAGCTACATGTAGATAGAGTACATGAATACATGTATTGCACTTTTTGAACTTGAAGCAAAGATTATCCCAAGCGTATACGTATGTATGTAGTTAAGTTTGGTTCCTTGGGGTGGCGTAGGTGTTGAACTCGGGACACAAAAGCCCGGAATTAAACATCTACCGTCCCATCCGACACAAAATCTTTCAAGAATAATTATATAATGGGAGGACCAGCGAGGGACACCAGTAACTACATGTATCGTGAATCCATATCCCGCCGCGCCAATGCGTCCATAGCCGTTCTTATCTCTCGCTAGTTAACTAATCTGCACAGTACGTACAGTTGGCACGACACGCCATCCCCAACCAAGGCTGAAGAAGGGATGATCAGACATTCCAACTCTGAGTCAAGAGTTAACAGGTTATGTGTCTTCTAAGTCGTTATGAGTATTTATATCAGCTCTCTATCAGCAAAATTTCACTTTCTTTCAAACTATAAACCAACACAATGACCTCCGAAAAACGAGTATGTGTCTTCTGTGCTTCACGGCCAGGAACAAATCCAAAATTCGCTGCAGCCGCTGAGAGCCTGGCAGAAGAGTTATATCAACAGTCATGGAGCCTAGTTTACGGCGGTGGAAACCGAGGCCTGATGGGCTCTGTTGCTAAAACATTGTTTGACAAAGGTGGGAAGGTTCATGGGATAATTCCAAGAGCCCTTATTCGACGTGAAGTGGTAAGAAGGCTCCTAAATTTCCTACTATATATATATAAATGATCAATTCACTCACCAAGTTTTTTTTGCTACAGGAAGGGGAAATGGATATTGGGACTGTCGCAGTGGTGGAAAGCATGCACGAGCGGAAGAACGAGATGGCAAAAGTCAGTGATGCATTTGTTGCATTGCCAGGTGGATTTGGTACTCTGGATGAGCTGGTCGAGATTATAACCTGGGTACGCAACTGCCCAAGTCCGGAGATACGAATACAGCTAATATTGAGAAAATTAGAGCCAAATTGGGATACACGCGAAACCAATTGTCTTATTCAATGTCGATGGGTTCTTTGACAATTTCCTAAAGATGATGGAAGACTTCTACAGCAATGGTTTTGTAGAAGAAGAAACAAGGGGAATACTAAGAGTAGCTACAACTTCCGGTGAGGTTATCTCTGCCATTGAATCCTATATCCCCCCAGATGGACGCATGAAGCTTGCTTGGGACGAGAAACCAAACCCATAGCTGGACATGAACGCGAGCTACATTTAACGAGTTGTCATTTTAAATCTCTTTATCGATATCAAATCATTGATGTAATACAAAATAGACTGCATGTATTACCCAATAGTTTTTAACGGATAAATGAGATTATTTAACATTCACACCCTTTTTTATATATATATATATAAAGACAAAATCTATATGTAGTCCTTCTAAGAGCAGTTATAGATTACAAATGTCGCCCAGACAAAGTGAAAATATATCCTAACAATGTGTCGAGAAAAATTCTAGGTAATTATTGCAATACCACATAAGTCAAAACCTTCAAACCTCTGGCTTCTCATGTGGATTACTTATTTTGTTATCTAGAATAGTCGTTAGAATAGCCACACACCTACAGAGCTCTAGGGGATCTAAAAACATTATTCGGTCGGCATCGTACAGATAAAAGAAAATAGTCATTGGTATTTTTAAACACTAACTAATGGCAAAAAAACATGGGATAACCCCCATAATCGCTATACTTGCATTTACCCACCCAATTCCCTTTACGCAGTAATCCTCTTTACACTTGGGTTCCCAGCGGCCTCCTTCTTCTTCTTTTGCTTTATCGACTCTCTTCTCCGTTGCTTCCACGCACGATTCCATTCTCCCCTGTTCTCATAAAACTTCTCGCTCCAGACGTCCGCCATTGTTTTATCCCCTGGTGCCGCCTCTTCAATCTCCTCTACTGCCTTGGCCTTCTTTTTCCTATCTTTCTTTTTGGGCTGTCCTTCGCCCTCTTCCTCGACCGGCACTTCCTCGACCAGCTCTTCCTCGGCCTCGGTAAGTATCTTTGGGGTTGGTATCTTTGACCACACACTCAACGCGCCTAAAAACCTACTCTCGGTATGCGGGAAAAGCAACGGAGACTCAGTAGAGGGGGTATAAGGTGTGGCATCCTTCCTCACCGAGAGCAGATCTTGTCCACCAGGGAAACCTCCGATAATCCTCGGGGTAGACGGGACGAACCCAAGCTTTCCCCCATGACCCACACCATCATCTTCATCTGGGAAGAATTTGCGATGTCCAATTGCCGTGTCTGGCGTGGGCGCGGCGGAGCGGTAGCGATCACGGAAGGGGGCCTGGATAACTGGTCCCTCCTCTTCGTCCGAATCGTAGTCGGCGCCAAAGCCGAACTTAAAAGCAGAACTTTCAGTAGTTGCGGAAGCGGGGGATGGGGCAACGCCGACTTGGAGTAAGGTGGTATTTTTAGTGGTGGGTTTGTAGAGAGCTTCAAGTGGATGGACTGCCTGGATGGGGGGTTTGTGACAGTAGGAATGGTGATTTGCAGGGCCGGGGCCGTAGTTTTGGGTGAGGTGGTAGAAGAGGACCGGAGTGGTTTGGTTGGCGAGACGGGGGTGACTGGGGTGATAGGTGATGTCTTTTCAGTGGCTTCCTCTTCATTAGATCCGGACCTTGAAGATTCAGATGACGAAGAGTCGGACTTCGAGGTAGTGGTGGTTTGAGATTTCTTTCCAGGAATTTGAGGTTCTGATTCAGATTCCGAGCTGGAATCATCCTCGCCACCCACCTTGGCTTCAGTAGGAACCATGGTGGCTGCATCAACCATGACCTCGTCATCGTCACTTTCCGATGCATCTGTGACATCCACGCCCTTTGGCGCATCTGCAGGTTCCAGTACCTGGACTTCTGTTTGCATGATTCCATCTGCTCTCTTCTTAACCTTCTCTTCCTCTACCACATCGCCCTTCGCGTTTACCCAGCCGACCCCTTCGACATACTCGCTCGCCATTTTCTCGGCGGCCTGGTCTTTATCGAGCTGGCTAGCCCTCAAAAATTGGGGGAATTTGGTGTTGTTCTTGAACTCTTTGATGACCACCTCTCTCTTACGTTTTTTCTTATCTTTCTTCTCCTCCTTATCCTTTTTTTGCTTGTCTTTGGGCGTGGCTTTGTTGGGAGGGAGGGGTGTCTTGAAGAGACATTCGCGCTTAGACTCGTCCTCTATCTTCTTTGCAGACGAAGATGCTCTGCCAGCATACTTTGCAGAGACGCCTGTAGGCACAGCGGGTTTTGTCCAACCACGTTGTACCTTCCTTCCTTCGGGGAGTTCTATTCCTTGGAGGATGCCATCTTCGCCCTTCTTTCTTTTCTTTACTTTTGGTTCACCTTCAGCCTTACTTCTCTTCCTCTTCTCTTTCTTCTCCTCCTTTCTTGCGCTCTTTGCGCTTTCGACGTCCTCCATGTTTCCTTCTGGCTCGGGATGCGTCGCCCAAGTTTCGGGTCTAGCCTCTTCTACGCGGACCTTTACACCGCGAAAAACAGATCCGTTGAGTCTTTTCTTCAATTTATCTGCCTGGTCCTTGGGCAGATTAATGAATGCGTATGAGTTCTCTGGGAACGTCTGTATAGTGTGGTAGCTCAGACTCTGTCTAGTGGCCTTGTCAAGCACCGATTCGGGTATTAACGACGCTGTCGTCTCCGGTGTCAACGGTACGATGTGAAGTCTTACAATAGCGGGTTCGGTATCGGCTTTCGCAGGGACTTGTTTTTTTGTGGTGGAGGATTTTTGTTGTGACGAACTAGCCATTCCTGATCGCTAAAAGATATTCACCGAGGTCGTTAGAGAATTGTCGGAGGAGAGGAGGAAAGAGATGATGGGTATATCGGAGAGGGTAGACCATGGAGGGGGTATTTAGAGAACTTACCGTAGTTTGACCGGGCGGCAAGGTGGAGCGGTGAGACTTTTGCAGACTTGCAGTGCCCCACTAGAGAATAATTCGGTGTGGGTAAGGAACAGGCACCTGGGGAGGTATTGTATGTGCGATGGATAGCTTTTTTGACAGTGGGGGGTGAAGGGGAAGGGGAGGAGGAGGGATGTGCGAGGATGAGAGCGAGAGACAAAACGGTCTACAGGCGTCGCAAGTGCCACTGACAAACTGTTGCTATTCTCGCATAAAATAAACTCTGCAACTCTGCGGGATGTTATTCGCCAAGACAACGATCCACGGATGGGACACCACGCGAGTTCCAATCAGAAAGATAACAAGGGTGAACCTGAGACATACTTTACAACACCCTCCAGGACCAGTCAGGGTCCACGATAAAGCACATCAGGTACCAGTTGGTACAGCGATTCACAGTCATTTGGCGAATACACCCATTTGGCGAATTTGTATGTAGCAACCAGCCAGCAACCAGTAAAACCTCGAGTTTGACTAAGATATCTTGATTCTTATTGGCCTTAATCCCTGTTCGCCAAATGGGTGTATTCGCCAAATGACTGTGAATCGCTGTACATGTGCAGTTGCATTTGCGTAGGTGCCGCCTGCCAAATGCTCTCATGACATTAACCCGGTGACGGGCCACACACGAACGTCTTTCGCACTTCTAAGATAAGATCAAGCCCTGAGGCGTCTTTCGGATACAATACAAGACAAGCCTCACCGGCGTCATGTGTGTACAACCCTATACCTGATTACTGCAAATCCTGGGCGTAGCTGATTTAATACCTACTCTATCTACTTGGCTACACACTGACTACCATAACACGATAACTGATATCCCTTCAATATATATATATCTGCATCCGCGGATCCGGGGATCTTTTCTTGAGCAGCACTTCAAAGATAGGCGTATCTAAAACGTGGAGGTCAAACCTAACAATCGCTACTACCACTGTAAAAAAGACCGAGCCAGTACGCATCCTTGGAATTCCGGGCGTCTTTCAGTGTGCTCTCTACTCTAATGGCCAGATTAGCGAAGTAATCTGACAGACATACAGTACCGATTACGGGGAATGAATGCTAGCCGCTAGTTAACTAACTGTTATTCCCTACAAAACACTGCACAATACCTAAGACATGTCTCTCGCTTCTTAGCCAATACCTCTGCTTCGAGGCTCTTGGAACGTAAAGCTTAGATTCCTCGGCAAGCAATCGTTTGAAATAAAAACACAACCTTATTGGTGTCCTTGCACAACAATAAGTCTTACTTTTTGCAACTCAATGCGCTCCGCGCGATGAAGGAAGGCTATGGTGTACCAAGAATGAGATATTGAAAAATCACATGGAAATCGGGGGCCCCGAGGGAATACATTGTCTTGGATATAATATGGAATTATGGTTGACCAGCCAGGAAGGTTTTAATACTAACATTTGGTACTTCATCTCCTCTCTTTCTACCCGTAAATAGATATCCACAAATCCAATTGCAAACTACATAGCGTTCTCCCTCTCGTGCTATGCGGTATGGATGGAATGTTCCTTCTCTCCATGTACGCCGTGCGGCACAGAATGGTGAAGGAGGCGGTGTTTCCATTCGGCGACCGGATGAAGGACTAAATATAAGGGCGCTTTGACCATTACCCATGCAGTTATTTGTAATTATTATGGCGGACAGAGGTTGATAGGGACATCGGGAAGGTGTAGTAAGTGCTCCGAGGATGGGGGAGGAGGTTTGTCTACTATTGATGTCGACGTCTAAAATGACATATAATAAACGAGTTACATACCAACATTAACAATATGTGCCGGCTTTTGTGGGACAAGTTTGTTTCTCGTGATACTTTCCACTGCGTCGAGCATATATCCGGTACATGGAGCTAGCTAGGGAGCGAATTCTCACGTGTCACCAAAGATTTAAGCCTCCATTTGCATTAAGAACGTTTAACTCAAGTACATACATGTACTTACTTGAATCTGATTGGGATCACAACGAGAAATAAGTTTAAGAAATCATACATAAACATGCAGCAGATACGTAGCACCTGGCGGGTATTCGGATATCGAGTGATATCGAATGACTAAGGTATCATCCAGGTCATAATGTATCACCCGGTTTAGGTCTTTCGTCAGTCATCTCTATTCTTAAGTAGATTTCATATCCTTTTTTCTTTTACCTTATTTCCTTTATACTTGACTTTGAGTCTTTAGCTCTACGTATCCTCTTTCCCGTTTTTCAGCATGAATTAAGTTTCTTTTAATATTTTCGATCCCGCCACCACCACCCGTTTCAATTTTCTTGCCTCCTCCCTCCTCTTACCTTTTTTTATCTCCACTTTAAGTCTAGCCCCCGCGATTCTCCGGTCCTCGCGCGCATTCGCGATTTACTATTTGGTTAGGTTTCACCGTTCATTCCGCATATGTATTTAATGGCTATTGTGTAGACCCGAGGAGATTTGATGTTAAACTAAGGTGGATGATCGTCTATGTTGTGGAGGTGTCAGTGATATTGTATCCGGAGAGTTCTCTCTCCAATTGATGAGGACCCGGGTTCTTTCATCATACCGTATCACTCGACTCCTTGACCAACCTAAACCAAATATGGGAATTAAGTTTGCTGAGATCTATCCTGGGAAGCCTCAAGTGTTAATACTTCATGGTTCTTAAATACATCTTTGTACCATGTACCATCGGTCATAAAATACAAAGCTTGGTATAGGAACCTTCAAAGACAGATACCAATGAACGCCTTCTAGATATAGGACGGAAGAGTTTATTCATCCTCTTCGGCCATTATGCTCATTAGCTCCTTGAAGCAATCTGATAATTCTTCTACCACATCATTCAAATCTTCGACGGCATCCTCCATTTCCCTTATTTTTGCCTCCATCTCCGGCTCCAGATCGCCATTCCACCCGTCTCCTTTTTCTTTTATAGCTCGGTCTATCTCCGCTAAATCCGCCCATCGCTCCATGACCTTCTGCTCGCTTTGCCTACCTGGTTGCGGAGCCAACTCCGCCGTGGTCAGTCGGGAATTGGGTTTATTATCAGGGCTGGAGACAAATGATAGCCTTTTCTTTTGTATTGGGCATATGTCGCTCCCCTCTGTATCGTCATGTTGATTATGATCGGTCGCCGTCGGTCTTTTTCGTTTCGGTAGATGTTAAATGGTCATCGAGACTCGCGCTTTGAGACCCACCACACCCCCGTTCATGCTCATTGATCTTTCCCTTTCCCTTCTCGTCCGAACGAGCAGTAGACTCAGTTAGCGCATTCTCCTTGTTAGTATTTGGTGTAGATGCAGATATAGGTCTCCGTTGCTCTCTGGGCCAGGTTTTCAACAAATTTTCCAACAGCTTACCGAAGCTGGCCTTGTTGGAAAATTCGGTGTGTTTTATTCAAATGGCTCATTTTGAAATCCTTGATAAAATCATCGACTTGGTCGATACATGCTCTGACGAGAAGGATCCGGCGTTCTAGGTCTTCAAGGAAAAGGGGACCTTTCTGCGGCTGTGAGGTGCCGCCAATTTCAATTCGTCCGGCAGTCCGCTGGGTAGTTCCTCTTTGCTAAAGCTGTCATCGATGAATCTAGCTTGTCCCTCGGATGACACTGGTTTCATAAGGTTAGTAATAGTCTCCGCTTCCTAGCAGATAGAGGGATTAGTTGAATACCCTTGCATATAGGTGGGAGACCATACCTTTTCAATACTGTCAATCCCCTCGAGTTTCAAATCCTGAAGTAGTTTGAGCAAATTGCCAATAGCTTGTAGGCTTATATCGGTCTCCGTGGGGATAAAGTCGGTACAAGTATCTTTCGGGACTATCGGTAAGTCTTCGAGTGCCTCCATGTGGGTGTCTTTAGGGACATCGAGTGCCCCACGGCTGATAGTCGTTAAATCGTTCCCGTCCATCTCCATATTTTCCAGGTAATCTTTACTGCTAACAGTTGATTAAGTTTGCACTGCAAAGACCTCTCGGGGGAGTTGAAAGCTGGATAGGAACGTTGACCGGGTGTCGAATGACGAACTCTTATAGTCTTTTGAAATAATGTTACCCTAGTAGCCGAGTAACATTTTGCCCAGAAAGCCAGAGTTTTGCGGCGGATTATGTACGTGGATGAAATAATTACCAATTACCACGTAATAAGTGAACAAGTTTATATGTTGGATCTCCGGAAGATGTCGGTCGCGGGGTGTATACGTACGGCAACAAAAATGGATGTGAATTCGCTATGAATACAGTGTTCCCGTCAATGCGCTAGTACGGCATTCGTATTCTTTGCGTAATGACGGTTTAATTCCATATTCATCATTAAATTCCACGGTCCTATATGGTGGTATTTTCACCCATTTTTTCCCTGGTAAGGAGTACATACATGTGCGTGTCGTGTGTTCACAAAAACATATGTAGGTTTTTGTGGGTGAATCAGGTGCCGGCAGCCATGAGAGACCAGTTTGCAACTTATTTGGCTGCTAGAGGTAGTTGTCCCTGAGCGGCCAGGCCAAACACCATAGGTGTGTATGTAATTTGTTCTGATTACACTACTAGTGTTCATTCTCGCAAGGACCGGTTATTACCACACGCTAGAAGGCTACACCTGTAGTAAAAGGTACGTGTAGTCCGATACCTCATGGTGATGTTTCGTTTATAAGGCTTCAAGTAGCGCAATAGAGCGTATTTGACAACTGTCGATTTCGACAATTGACAGTTCGGCTTTGACAGTTGCGGGTCGCAAAATTGACATTATACTTCACGAACTCTCAAATTATTTAGTAGATCTCGACCATTATCAGTGGTGATGAGATCGAGACATAAGGCCTTTTGCGCATTGATAGAGTCTAGCTCTAAGTTCCGGTACCCTGTGCCGATACCCTCATCAATCAAAATTGACGGTTCGGCAAACCGCTATTGCAGCCGGAATCGACAGTTGTCAAATACGCTCTAATAGCGACGGATAGGGTCCCACTATACCCAGGAAGGTAGTCAACCACGGCCACCCAGTACTCTAAAAGGGTTGCATAGGCCCGGTTCGACTCTGAATGTACCTACATACATTGTGATATTCTCAATCCGTCCAAACAGCCTAACTGCGTACGTAGGTGTGAAGAACATTGCTTATCAGAGAACTTACTACAGACTATATACTTGCTTACCAGCATATGAACCAGAAAATGCGAGTTCGAGAGTCAAGGATTATTTGTATGGAGTGGCGCGGATCTGCCGTACAAAATAGACATTTGCATTTTCTGGTTCATATGCTTGTAAGCAAGTACAGGTGTGTAGAAGTACAATTTTTATTGGCTGGTGTTGCTACGGTAGAAGCGCTGAGGTCTTGGCATGCGGCTCCAAGACAAATAAGCATTTATGGGGACATGTCGTCATCTAGCCGAGAGAAGCCGCCTGACTGACCCTGCATGCGCAAAAAACGATTTCCAAGCGGCACAGGCATGTTTGTAATTATTTGAAGTGCATGTCTAGCTGTATGTAATAAAAGAATCAGCATTATTAACCCTCCCGCTGTAGAGTAGAAGCATCATTCAAATAAATACCCACCGCACTGGTACAAGGAGTACTGATACGTAGGGATAGACGTGGTAAGCTAGCCATATATATGTTCATTCTCCCCCGCACTCTCAAGCAGCAGAGATTGAACGTCTTTTCAACTTTGAAACCCACCTCTACCCTCCGTATCAGTTCGCTTTCCCAGAATCCCAGGCCTTCACAACTTCAGTTTCGTAGAAACTTTCAAAAGACAGCATCAGAAATGGGTTCCCACGGCGACTTTAAAACTATCGAGGCCTCGCGTCCTGACTTCGAAGCAAACGAAAGTTTCTATCACACCAAGACCGTCAAGCCCGACTGGAAAGTCGGCGATGGGGCCAACGACCCCAGTTGGAAAGATCACAAGACCGTAGAGATCGACCCCTACGGTAATGGCCGAACCAGCTTTGACAACTATAAACTTCTCATCTCTGGGATCATTCCGCGTCCAGTCAGTCCTCCCTTCCCCTCGTGACAGAGAGTAGCTATTCTGACAACAAATAAACAGATCGGCTTCGTCTCAACCGTCTCTACTGACGGCAAGTACAACCTGGCACCCTACTCCTACACCCAAATCGTCAACCATGACCCACCAATCTTCTGCATCGGGATGAGCGCCGGCCGAGGCGCCAACAAAGACTCCTGCGAGAATCTCCTCACAACCAAGGAATGTACCATCAATATTATTTCCGAGTGGTTCATTGAGGCTGCCAACTACACCTCCATCAACGCCCCCCATGGTGTATCAGAATGGGGTCCCACAGGACTGACACAGGCTGCGTCCACCAAGGTTGCGCCACCACGTGTTGCAGAGTCGGCGTTCTCCATCGAGGCGAAGTTGATTCACACGCATGATTGGTTTTCGCCTAGTACGGGGGCAAAGACGGGAACGTTGGTTATTGTCCAAGGCATTAACTTTCATGTACGCGAGGATGCGCTGAACGAGCAAAAGAATATGATTGATCCCAGCGTCTTGAGACCTGTCAGCAGATTGGGTGGCGTCACCTATGGTAGGACGACAAGTGGGTACGAGTTAACGAGGCCAGAGTTTGCGGACGAAAAGGCGAAGGAAGAGGTAAAGGGATTCTTGTGAGATTGGGGTAAATGTATAGAGCGTGTTTAGATACGATACTGTTAATTAAAGCTTTAGTTTGGCATTAGAATTGATTTGCCTATACTTTGATATGATTAAGGTTCCCATTCATTGGCCGAAGTGATAGGGCCTCCCAGCTTTTCATAGTAGCGAGATCAAGTTTAATTACATAGCGACCATTGATGCCATTATTCAAGTATCTGTCATGAGACGCACCAATACTTAGAGTGATAATCCATGATTTGAGTATTTTAATCCAATGTTATCCCTGTTTTAATATTAGTGGTGTATGAGGAGGCTTGAGCTGAGCCACATAATAACTAATTGAGCCACTCGACAGTTTTAGAACTAAGGATCTGATTGATTGGACTGTTAATGCGGGCTCATAATATGGCTCAAGCTAGTGACCAATGATTCTGAAAACAAAATATTTTGCTGCTAAGTATTAAAGATGAAGGGTGACGTGTTGGAAAAGTTATATTAATAGGAAAAACTGTTGGGCCGAGAATTTTGAAGTATAAAAAACACCAGGGGTCCAAATCTTCCCTCCAACTGCCAAGTAGTCATTATCTTACTAAAAAGTAGATTGATTCAGACTTGAATCAACCATGGTTATAGGCTTGAGCTGGCTTAGGTCAACGGATAATATAAATCACTTTCCATCAGCCCAAGGCTTGGGCCAACTCGTCTGATAGATCAATCAGGCTATCAAATTATCCAGAAGAGCTTGGTTGTCAAAGTTTTGGGACGAAAGCTTCCATGCACCGGCCCATAACTTACTGATAGGAATGTGACGTTGAGTGATTGTTCGTGACTGTGGTGCTTTAAGATGGACTGTGCTGTGCCTGGTGGGTACGATGAAGTCAAGCAGTTGGTCTGAAAAAGATCGATGTGTTCAAATTATGTTTTTTTCGGGATAGAGGCTGAAACATCTTTATTTTGACGTAGATTTATTCCATTTTATACGCTGTAAATACCACAGTGCCCTAAACCTTACCACCTTCTACAAATTTCAGATAATAGTGGAAAGAAAAGCAAATTCGTCTTCAGCCTGGCTCAAACTGTGCTTCAACTAGTCAAGTCTCCTGCAACCTCTGGTACACCAAGTAAAACAACTCTAACCATCGTTTTTTGTTCTCGGACAATGGTTTTCCAGGCGCCTGGAAAGAGCGATTTGTGATCTCCTTTAGCCTGCTGCGGAAAATTTTTAAAGCAATCATACTTTTCCAATCCTGGAAGGCGAAACGAACGCGATTACCATCAAGGACAAGGACACCGGAGTACATCTATCCATTTCTATTAGGTCTGTTCAAAACAGGGTTTCTGTCTGACATTCTTACCTTGAAGTCAACATCGCCGCAGAGCAAGGCAACAGTGATGTCGTCAACATGTCCGGTCTCATGGGCGTCGTAGAAGCTTGGATATATAAGCTTAATAATAATCGCAAGGGAGGTAATTTAGCTTACTTATTGGATTGCATAATCCCATAGAATGCTAACCACTCGCTCCTGGTGTACTTATTCACTGAGCTAGGATGTATCGCAATGTTCTGGCCATTAACAACGTTCTTCCATCCCTTCCCGTCCTTTTGCAGCAGTTTTGGGTAAAACCCAGCGGCGACAACTGCGTTTACTACCGAGTCGTTCTCGCTGCTGTGGTTCACGGCATTAGGTGCTATGAAGAAGTTACGGCGGCGGTAGGTGTTGAAACGACAGCAGTTGAGATAATTTCTCTCCTCGCTCGTAAGGCTAAAGAACCCTGCGTCAATGACAGCAACGATAAGTTGCTGTTTCAAATCCTCAATCCCAGAAAGAGTGCGGCTGCTGAGATAGTTCTTTCGACAGAAGTCTGATTCGGTTATGTTGGTGCCTTGGCAAACTCGTCTCCAGGAGGAGTAAGCATTCCATCCAGTAAGCAGGTCGGAGTCACCTGGGAGAATTAGCCACGAAGTAACAACTATTCTCTTAACCACTCATACCTCTTTTGAACGAAAACCTTATAGCGTCTGCCTCTTTGCGGTACCCCATTGGCGTGACAAAGGGGGATTTGGATGATAATATAGCTGCGATCGTGGTCACAGCGTCTAGGCAGCCATATACACTACCCAGCAGTACCATTTTACCCAGGTAAACATCAAGCGGTAGTTTTGCTAGCTGACAACCTAGTGGTGTGAGTTCTTCGGCTAACGTCAAAGCTTTTGCCTGTTTTCCGTTAGATTCTCGATTTTGAAGGTTTCATTTACGAAAGATTACCTCGATCAGGGAGTCAATGGCTCTCTTGATGTTCTTAGGCAGAGGCGCATCAAGTGCTTGAGCAAGAATCTCTTCGATACCCCCAAGCTTACAGATTTTAACCCTGAGTGCCAGATCTTGTAAGGATAACCTCATCATCTCAGGGGATTGTTGCTCTGCCATCTATCAAGAGTTTAGTTATTGGATGCTCGGAATTAGCTGATTGGATTGAATTCACCCATTTATCATGTCGATCCTTTGTAAACATATGAAAGCACAGCCCTTCTTGGACTCTTCCTGCTCGACCCCTCCGCTGTTTTGCGTTTGCTCTACTTACGAATGTTTCTACTAGCCTGCTTAGCTGCCTCCTCTCGTCGAATCTCATTTCTTTGTGTTTCCCTGAATCGATCACGCATGTAACATCAGGTATAGTGATACCAGTCTCTGCGATGTTCGTGGCTATAACAATCTTCCTCATGCCTTGAGGTGGCACCAAGAATGCAGCTTCTTGGTCTTCGCTAGCAATTGTTGAATGAAGTGGATAAACCAGCCATCCTCCATCCTTTTTATTTGAACCAAAAACTGGATGCGCTGATAAAAGATCATTAAGCCTTCTAATTTCACCCATACCAGGTAGAAATATAAGGATAGCTTTTGAATAGTTGATATATTCAGGTGAAAATGCTACTTTTTCAAGGAGCTGCATGATGAGTTCGTATTGTATTTGGTGTGGGTTTATTCGTGAAAGTGCCGATTTAGTCTCCTTGGAATAACCAGTAAGAGCTGTACTAAGAACCACTTCTTTATCAGTATCAACTTCAGCATCATTGTCATCCGCCCAATCATTGCGATTTCGAGGGTTTCGAGAGTCCTCTTCGGCTTTGAAACCAGTGACCTCAATTGCATCTTCAAGATAGTGAGTTCTGACAGGGAACGTTCGCCCCGGGACGTTCATCACAGGAGCGCCGTTGAGGTATTTCGAAAACTTCTCCGCGTCGACAGTGGCTGACATGAGAACGACCCTATAAGCAGTTAGAAAGTTCTGGTAACCAAGAAAGATTTTTAAATTTACTTCAAGTCCTTTCTCCTTGATAGCAGCTTTTTTAAAACGATCATCAAGAAATCACTATCGATACTACGCTCATGTACCTCGTCTAGAACTAGATGGGTGACCTCCTCCAGATCTGGCGATCTTTCAAGCATGCGAACGACAATACCCTAAGATAATTAGTTAATAGCAGTGAAAAATTCTCACAAAATAAAGCATTTTCTCACCGTGGTTGCATAAACAAGCCTAGTCTCAGCATGCATATTGCTTTCTAGCCTGATGGCATATCCAACAAGAGAGTTTTTGCCGCCAAGATCAGATTTGCGTTCTCCAAGCTCTTCAGATACGCGGCGGGCTAGAGATATAGCTGATATTCGTCTAGGCTGTTTTCTGTTAATTTAAAGTCGCAAATAATACGAAAGGGGACCGTACTTCAGTGCAGTAGATTTTGCATGATTTCCCTTGAGAAAGCTGATGTTCTAGAATAAAAGCCGGAGTCTGCGTGCTCTTTCCACTATGATCCCGTGTATGAGTAAAGGTTGTGAGGAAGAGATAGAGCTTGTATTACCATCCTGTCTCTCCACAAATAATTACTACTTGCTCTCGGTCAATCGCAGCCAAGACCTCATCTTTGAAAGCCCACATCGGCAGTTGCTTCCTTCCATTCAACATGTGCAAATATTCAGGTGTATTTTTCTTATATTCCCAACCCTCCCTGATCATATCTGTCTCATGAGATCTTTCCAGTTTTGTGAGGTTAACATCCTGAACCTCCTCAGAAGATTTATCGAAATCATCTTTTGTAACCCGCTTTTTCTTCTTCTCGGCCGTATCCAACTCCTCTGACACGTACTCATTACTTCCAATTTCTAATAAAACCTGTAATCCTTTGAGAATTTCCCGTTCCTGGCGTTCTGTTACTAGACGTGCCTCTTCCACTAATTCGGCCCAAAGTCCACGCCACAAGGTAGGAAGGCGAAGATATATCTTCTCCTCCTTCTTACTGCACAACTGAAACAAGGCATATGTGGCGATATATCCCTCCGCCTGTTCCTTTGTCGGAGTTCCAAACGAGTTCATAGAAAAAACGGTGCTGAGCAATGATGGTGAATTTACAATAACAGGTGGTCGTTCATTGTAGTTCAATATCGTTTTAAATGATGAGGCAGCAGCAATAGAGGACCAGTTGATAGTTAATCGACTACGCGTAGATATCGATGTTCCGGGTATCATTTCGTACCGAACCTTTGAGCCTACATCCCTGATATCGTTTAGCATAATGTTTTAATCAAATTCCCAGAAAACATTATCGTACAAGAACATACCGACTCTTACAAACTTCGTCGAGTACGCTTTTCACTAATATTAAGCCCACTCCCGTTTTTCCTTTCGGTTTATTTTTCCCAAAACTACTAACTGTAAAACCAGCTTCTTCTTCGAAATTCCTGATACTGACTATCTCTTCCCCGTTTTGTCCGATAGTTGTTTCTTCTGTAGGTGGTGGCTCAAAAAGACCCCCTATCAAATCCATACCAAGATCATCATCATCTTCAATAGAGCCATGCTCGGACAAAGCAAATTGCACCGCTTCTTTACTATCCTCTTCGTCAGATTCGACGGTTCCCTCAGATAGTAGTGGTATTTGTTGTTTAGAAGTATGGGAGTTTTTATCATCCCATTTGCCTTTCGGTTGCTTTTTTGTCCAGCTTTCTTTTTCAAGC